AAACTATAGCTATGTCTCGATTTTGTCATCTTAAAGCTGTTAAAATAAGTTATTAATCATTTTATTAAGATCAACTTAAAGTGACGACCATCAGTTAATATTTAAAGTCTGTTTATTAAGTATTTACATAGACTTTCAATGTGGAAGAGCTTAAAGAGAGCACACTGAGCTTAATTGGAGCAGCAACAATTTTTAATAAATTTCATGTAATATTGATTAAAATGACAATATTTTGCAAAATAAATAATCTAGGTTATGTATTAAGTTCATACATATTTTATTATGAACAACTGTTCTTATTGATGTCACACTAAAGCTGTGTGATTTTCATAGTAGTGCACCCTTTAAGCTCACCTTACAATAATATGAAATCTTTAAAAATTACAGCACTGTAAAACCACAGACCAACAATAAGCTGCCAATTTATAATATTATGGATTCAAAAGTACAAGCCAGTAATGCATGTGAAGTAATATATTAGCGTAGCACACAATCTTATACAGCTAGTCAGCTAACTGTGTTCTGTAGCATCTGCGCTATGTTGTTAAAACTATCTTTTGGATCTAACTGTAATTATTTCCCACATCTAAATTCCAGGTTATAATATGCAAAAGTATGAACATTAATCTCTTAATTTTACAATAAGGCTTAAACATCTAAAAAATGCACATTTAAAGGACTCCTCTTTTGGAGTAAAATTTTCAGACAGCTTTCAAAATGGCCACCAGACAGTGTGAACACATGGATACTCGTATCTCAGTGTGCAATGATCCGATTGACTTGAAATTACAGGAGGTATATAGTAACAAACACATCAATTGGTTAAGACTAGGCCTGGGTAATAAATGGTATCGATATTTATCGACGGTGCACCTTCTTTGATATCGATAGAAAAAATGTTCGATATAGCGCACGATATTGGCACGTACTATGAGTGACGCAGACAGCACTCACAAACACGAACACATGCTGAAATGAGTGCTGTGCCTGCCTGTGATGAGGAGATTGTGAATAAAAAAATGAATATTAGTCTAATTTAAAATAAACATTTGCATTTGAATGCAAAAAT